ATATACCACAGTCTTGTCAGATGTAATGTGTCTATATTTTTATGTCTTAAACCGTGTCCTGACCAGGACTAGGTGTGGAGATCTTTTTTTAATGCCCACTATCCTCATGGTCTTTCTCCTTTTCTTATCTAAAGAATAAGGGGCTGCGCTCCTAGCAGCATCATCCACGTGCACTCCGCCCATCTTTTGGACCACTGCACGGAATATAATTTCACTGTACTTCACCGTGCAATGACAATAAAGCTTATTCTGATATGTATATACATATATATTAAGTAAACTATGGTACCATTGGCCACACCCTGGCACCACCATTGCACCTGATGGGGACTAACATTTCTCTCTTGAATATATTGCATCAAAAACATTAAGGTTTACCTGCATTCTCTGTGCAATTCCAGTCCAGAATCTGGAAAACAAACATTCACTATTCAAATCCCTCCGTGACGGGAGACATCAGCTTGTATAAGATTAAAAAAAGACATAACACATGCTCATGTTGGCTAATAGCCTAGCCCTGAAGATAACGTCTGCCCTTTTCTCCATACTCTCATTAAACTTTCTAAAGTTCAAACAAATCTGCTTTTAGTCTCATTTTTAATTTGTTTTAAATGGCAATCAACAAGTGTTACAGTTTGATGAATTTTTGTGAAACTATTCTTGACCCGATCTTCCTCTGTTGCATCTCCAGTAAATTAATAAATGCCGTTCTCTCTTATGCATTTCATACAGTCTCTCTGAAAGCTAAAATTACTGGTGCAGGATTAAAGGTTTACCAATCACAGTGTCCCTGAAGGACAGCTGTTTTGACAGGAAGTCTCTTGTTGTCCACTCCCTTTCCCCTTTTGTTTTCTGGCCAGACATTCCCACGCCTCCTTATTTACCGTTTACATATAGTTCAAATTATTTATTTTTGTGTAGAAAACAATTAAACGTGACTATTATTAGCGCTAAAACAACAATCTCCATGTGTGTGTGGAACGTGAACACCCCTAAAAACAAGCGTTGGGGTTTAATACTTTTCCAAACTCGTTAAAAACACGACCAAGCGTGAAATGGGGCCAACAACGGCCGTGCAGGAACTGTAATCTCCTGACTGCAATTGAACTAACCTGATAAATGAAGCGTCAGCAGCTTTTAATCTCCCTACAGAGTCCTGTTGTGCATCTGAGGTTAGTGTTACAGTAACATCGTGCAGCAGGGTATTTTCTCACACTTGTGACGTATAATTCCTGTAAAATGTCCTGGATTATTATGTAGCCTTTGGGATTCCTGGGCTGAGAAATTCTCTAATTAAATTGCTGTGACTGTGAGATAGAATTACGGAAAAGGCCTACTCGTATAACGAGCTGTTTCCTATCACGGTGTTTCGTGCATTAGTAAAGTCAAGTTACAGTTTTGAGAGTGCTGTTGTGACGTAGACTTGAAGACATTAACAGGCATGTACAACAGCAGTATACAACATTACTGTGGAAGATATTTGGACTGCATAGAATATGTTTTTATTACATTATATATTATATTAAATTACATTAATAAAACTTAGTTCTGGATAGTAATTGATATTAACTGGGGTTCTATTTCTAAAATATACTAGCCTAGCTTGAATGAAGACTCCTGCCTTTTTCTCCACACTCTAGATAACTAATAAACATCACTTCAAAACTGACCAGAAAATCCCTTTGAGTTTTTAGTCTGAGTGAAATGAACTGCAGACGCTGGTAGAAGAGCCCCGGTTAGATCAAGAAGACGTGAAGTATTTAAAGGGATCTCAGGCTAGTTGGACCTTATCTCATAAACAATTACTTGTACTATAAAAATGAGATGGTGAAAATCCATCCATCATCTTCCGCTTGTTCCGAAGTCGGGTCGCGGAGGCAGCAGCTTGAGCAGGGAGGCCCAGACATCTTTCCACAGCCACCTCTTCCAGCTCTTCTGGGAGCACTCCAAGTCTTCCCTGGGGTCTCCCCCCAGTTGGACATACCTGAAGCACCTCCCTACGGAGGCAGCCAGGAAGCATCCTTACCACATGTCTGAACCACCTCAACTGACTCCTCTCGATGTGGAGGAGCAGCGGTTCTACTCCGAGTCTCTTCCAGATAACGGAATTTCTCACCCCATCTCTATAAGAGAGAGTCCAGTTACCCTGTGGAGGAAACTCATTTCAACCGACTGTATCCGTGATCTCGTTCTTTTGGTCACTACCCAGAGTTTGTGGCCATAGGTGAGGGTAGGAACGTAGATCAACTGGTAAACAGAGAGCTTCAACATACAGCTCAGCTCCTTCTTCACCACAATGGACCAGAACAGAGTCCGCAATACCGCAGACGCTGCACCAGTCCTTCTGTTACTCTCGTGCTCCATTCTTCCCTCACTCGTGAACAAAACCCCCGAGATACTTGAACTCCACTTGAGGCAGAACCTCACTCTCAACCCGAAGAGAGAAATCCACCCTTTCCCAACTGAGGACCATGGTCTCAGATTTGGAGGTGGGGATTCTTTATCCCAGCCGCTTCAGACTCAGCTGAGAACCGCTCCAGCGAGGGTTGAAGATCATGGCACAATGACGCCCACAGGACATCATCCACAAAGAGCAGAGATGGAATCCTGAGGTTACTGAACCGGACTCCCTCCACCCCCTGGCTGCATCGGTCCATAAAAGTTATGAACAGAATCGGTGACATGGGGCAGCCCTGGCAGAGTCCAACCCCCACCTTGAAGGGGTCTGACTTACTGCTGGTAATATGAACCAAACTCTTGCACCGTTTGTATAGGGGCCGAACAGCTTGTAGCAACGTGTCCCCAATCCCATACTTGCTGAGTACCCCCCACAGTGTACCCCGAGGAACACGGTTGAACACCTTCTCAAAGTCCAAAAAACATATGTAGACTGGATGGGCAATCTCCTACAACCCCTCGAGGACCCTAGTGGGGGTAAAGAGTTAGCCCAGTGTTCCAAGGCCAGGACAGAACCTGCATTGTTCCTCCTGGATCTGAGGTTCGACCAACAATCGGACTCACTTCTTCAGTACCCCTGAATAGACCTTACAGGGAGATTGAGGAGTGATGCCACACCCAGGAGGGTGTCTTCCAAAGACTTTAATACACGTAATCCTTACACAGTGAATGTGCTTTTGTGGTGAATTAAATAAGTCACAGTTGAATTGAGCGACTGCTCAGAGCGAGTTTGACTTGACACGTTTTGGCTTTGTCCACCTCGTATGGATCATTCATAATACCGGTAAAGCTTTTTGTTTCTTTGTACCTTTTCAACGACACCATCATCTAATGTGCCTCTAGAACATCGATTCCCAACCGTGGTCCTCCAGAAACACTATCCTGCATTTTTACTTGTTTCCCAGTTCCAACACACCTAATCAGTGATTTAATTACTTACTCAAGTTCTGCAGAAGTCTGTTAATCACCCATTCACACAAATGAGGTGTGCCAAAACAGGGAAACGACTCAAACATGCAAGATATTCTAAAAACGTTACGGTCCTCTGGATGGATTCTT